AGTTTTTTTTGGCTGGGGCCCGGTTTGAACCCCACCACCTACAGGCGCTGCCCCTTCTTTTTTATTTTTTATACAGATCATAAAACACAAAAAAGGCTCAGAAAATGTTAAGAAAGTTAATATTTAATAATGAATATATGAATATACAGACTTTTAGTGTAGTACCCAAGAACATTCAGAACTATATGAAAAGAAAAGTCAGTTAAAGGTAAAAACTATTTTGATAGTAACAGTAGTAGTAATAATAATGGTAACAATAATACTTTGTTGGCATTTGTACTATATAGAGGCAGGCCCTGGGTTACAAACAAGATAGGTTCTGTAGGTTTGTTCTTAAGCTGAATTTGTATGTAAGTTGAAATAGGTAGATTTACCTATTACCTATAATAAGATCTGCCCATGAGCGTGAGTCTTATGTCAGTCAGATGTTTGTAACTCTACCTCTATATGTATGATAGCACCGTAGTAACTATATTATTTCATCAATAACTCCTCTGAACTCAAAAAATGAATTTGATTACCATTCCTGGGTCTATTTCTTATATATTTTCTCCTGACTTTTAAAATATTGTTTGTCTGTTCTTTTTATGAGTAGTGTCACTTAAAATTTCATGTACTTCTATTTTTTCTCTATGATTTACAAGTAAATTTGTATGTCACATGCCTTATGCCATATTTCAAAGCTAAGAACTTACTATTTGTTTTGTTTAATATTAATATGTAAAGATTCAAATTTTTCTTTGCTTCCTTAATACCTCTTTGATATGCTAGGGGTGTATTTTCAAAAATCAGAACTAGTTTAATTAACTTAGGTAACAACTTTTTTATTTTTAAAAGAAAAAAGTGTGCCTCCTAAAATAAAGAGATGTGAGCTCGTAACACAAATAGCAAGGTAAGGAAAGTCAAACCACTGACTGGAGTTTTTCAGAAATGTAAATTTAAACCCGTCATGTTAACTTGTTTGTATATAATCCATATTCAAAGGCATGTGGGCCAAAAAAGCTGTACTTGTCCTGACTTGATAAACAGGCATAAGAAAATCCTGTATAATTAACATGAAGAACGAGATAATGAAGAGAATTCATTACCTAGATTAATTGATAACACCCACAGAAAATGAATTAAAAAACATTTAATTCATCAAGCTGGAGGCATCAAAATTCCAACAATAGAATTGCAATTAAATTACGCTACACTAATTGCAAGGCATATATGTGTGTGCTGCATGCCATTTTTAAATCCCATTATTTCAATATACTAAATTAACTACACAAAACATATAAGAAAAGAATTTTACATTTGTATAGCACTTAACGGTTTACAAAGTGCCATTTATATGATTCCTTCTTTTTTATTTTGATTCTTCCTAGAACTCTATTTATTAAGTATTTGAAGGTTAACTGTAGCTGATCAAGCCATTGGGAGCATTCAGGTGCTGTGTCCCCAGGTCACACAGCTAACATGTAGCAGTTGTCAGGCTCCAAGTCAGTTCCCTACCATATTTACTGATTTGTTCATGTGTGTCAGCTGCTAGAGCTGAGACCCTGCCAGCTACATAATCTCTCTTAAACCTGGTTTCCTCATCTCTATAATGGGAATAATAATAGTACCTAGTCCACAAGGTTGTTGAAAGAACTAAATGAGATAATACATGTGAAATGTTTAGTAGATGGCTTTAAATGCACTTAATAGGTATTAACACATTCAATGTGGACAGGTTACTTACAGAGTAAGTAAGAAAGCCTTTCTTCAGTAGACCATAGCTATGTTAAATTCAAACATTATGGGAACACGAACTTATTGACGTTTAATAAGAAGGTAATATCTTAAGAATAAAATAAATGAGCAGTATGTATCACACCAATTAGAGATTGGGGCTACTCCCAAAAAAGAAATCTCCCATTACCATTCACAGCAGGCTGACTGGTAAGCAGACGCTTGCTTTCTAATGACAGCTAATAATGTTGTTAGCATTGAGGCTTGGTACAACAGCAGTTTCCAAGTAACTGTGGGATGGAGAGGAACTTGCCAGAACAATGGAAGAAAAACATGCAGGGACAATAATGACTCCATGGGGCCACGACAGAAACTCAGGAATGACTGGGACTCTCAGTAAGAACTATGCTTTTAGTCAAGCATGCACTGGCGCACGCACATCTCTGCCTAATGGTTCCAACCTGCACATTCTATAAAGGTGAAATTAGATGTCAACTTTTCAGAGAGGCTTTACTATGTCATCAAGTTTGAGTGAATCACTCTGTTTAATTCATCTAAAACTGTCTAATCATTCTATAGAGCAGTAGCAATAAGTATGATGAACTGATGTGAATTCATCTAATTTGGTGGGGGGCGGTGAGGAGGAGGGAAGATGCTTATGACCCAGGTGACTCAATTCCACTCAGGGGATGTGTGCCTTTAAGTCAAACAGGGGCTCTGAAGCTGGTGTTGCCTTGGTTGGCATCAGTTCCCATAAGTTTCTCATTGCATTTAATTAGAATCCAACACTGAAAATAGATATTCTTCATACATCAACTTGCACCTAAAAGTCAATCATCTCCTATAACTGGTGCTGAATTCAAAGAAAAAGTCTCTTTTCCAACTGTGGAGGAATAACTGACTTTGTAGACTTCCTGAGAAAGGAAGTCTTCTGGATCATTGTTGGTCTTCAGTGCAGTTTACTCTCCTCTTCCTCTCCTCCCACAACCTAGGAGGCACCTGCCTTGTATAGGTCCTCTTTGTGCTCCCCCAAAACAAAGATTATGTTTTTTTCCATCTTTTTATAATCAGCTGCTAGCATTATCCATGACATGACATAATCATCTGAGAAATAACAGTTTAAAGAATAAATGAACTACATTAATTTCAGTAGCTACTTGATAACCACTTACCTTGTACTGGGCACAGAGTAAAGTACTTGGGATACAGAGGAGAATAAGGCATCATCAGTGCCCTCAAGGAACTCAAAGAGTAGTTGGAGACCAGACCAATAAATGACAATTATACAGAGGGTCTGCAGATGCCTCACAAAGGCAAGGCCAGGGCAGGGGCAGTGATGCAGGCTGCTTGGGAGAGAGGCTTTTTGGAAGAGGTAATATTCCAGTTGACAAAGAGAAGGAAAGTGCAGTATCTCAGACAAAGGAAACAGCCAGGAGAAAGGCAACTATGTTACCCAACTCAGTTCATGCAGGGAGTAGTGGTTGATCCAGGAAGTAACTCAGGATGACACAGGCGAGGCTGAGAGTGAGGCCAGGGGAGAGAATAGAATTGAGAATTGCTTTACTCCTTCCTTTTCCAGAAATGAGTGAAGGCAAGTCTTTATACCAGCCTCCCTGAGAAATAGAGAGGAAGTGATAAGAAAGGGACAAAGTGAAGAGTGAGTGTATGAGAGGGAAATACACAGAAACCAGGTAAAAACATGAGAAAGAGTGAGGGAGGGAAAGGAGATAGTCAGTGACAGGGAGTATGAGAGAGTGCAAGAGAAGGAGAAAGAAAGAGAGAAAGAGAGAAAGAGCGAGGAAGAGAGAGAGAAAGAGAACGCAGGACAGTGAGAGGAATCAAGCCCCAAAAGGAGAGTGAGCAAAGCAATTAGGATTTCTGTAAGGAGGGCAACCTTGAAGCACACAGGCCACTTAGCGCAGGGAAATGGGATACAGAGCGCAAGAAAGGAAAATCACCACCTTGGGCTGTGGGAGGACCCCACTCAACCAGAGATTATGTTGTTCCTGCCTTCTCTCTGACTATAAAATTGTTTGCTGCAGTTATGTGCTTTAATGGAAATCTGATTTAAGGTTTCACTCTAGACCAATTTCTATAATTAACTACTGTAATCTGTAATCTCAAACTGAGAATGAAATTAAGACAGTTTAAAAATGAAAGCCTCGTGACATCGTCATTATTATTCAGCATTTATAAAGCATGTCAGATTTCCAGTGTGCGCCTCACATGCCCATTCATTTTATAACCACTGACTGCTGTTCCATGACAACACCAATAGCAACTTTTAATTATCTTTTTTTTTTCCCTAGTAAAGAAAATTAAAAAGAAAAAAAAAGTCAGTTCTGGTCTATTTAAGTACCCAGATGCTCTCCTAGAAGATCCCTAAGGGCTTTTGGGAACACAGACTTTTTTCAAATTCTCAGGTGTGAATCACAAGGGTTGCTATTTACTGTTTTGCAAAAGTAAAGATCATCTAATGAGGCAGTTAAGGTGCCAGGTGCAGAGCCCAGGTCCCTCGACCCCAGACAGCTGTTCCCAAGGTACATCTAAGGCAGCACCTGACAGCTGAGCAGGTTTTCCCAAGGTCTGTGTGTATTTGGTTTTGCAAAACACACTATGGCTGCAGATTTTAATCCACAATTAAAAGGAAAACATGAAATTCAAGAGAAGAAAAACTACAGCCTTTGCTATTTATCAAGCTTGTCTCAATCTCCCCACTCCCCAATAAACAAACCAACAAAAATCAACACTGAAACCATTTTTTGTAAGATGGATTTTTTTTCCCTAGGTATCTGATAAATATTAGGAAACCCCAGTCAGATGACTTCATACACAGAACATTTGGGGGGAATAATTTTAGACAGTTCCTATAATTTTGCTACTCCTATAGGATATGGCTTC